AGCAGCAGCTGACTGAATTTTAATAAGAAACCTCGACTGCAGTACTTACTCTGTAGTCTTTAGACAACAGTTGCTTTCTTAAAGACTAGTTCTTACCAACCTTGAATGACTATGGATTATTTTGTGAAGGAAGATAAAATAACGTGTGTTCTTGTAAAATTAAATTTTATCTTTATTCTTTCTCCTGAAAATCTATAGACACAGGAACTGAAAATCTTTGAACAGGTATTAAAATCTATGTAAGTACACAAACTAGGTGAGGGATAAAACTGTTTGCTTTTATAAAATACCTTTGATTACATGAGTATAATAAATTGTGTGCATATAATGTGTGTCTATATGCTTTCCTTTCAATATGTTTGAAAAGATGTTTGAAACTTGATTATACTATTTATAATTGGCACAGTACTTTGAATTATGCCAGTACTACATTGTAAAACAGAGTTGTATTTTTTGATATTTAACAATGCTTAACACTTTAAAATGCCACTTCTGAGGAATGGACATGGTGTAACACACCTGACTATGTGTGATGCCAAACTTTTTTAAATAAAATATAAATTATGCTTATTTATTATTTTCTTTAGTTTAATCTTGGTCATGTTTTGGTGTGTATTTTTAATTTTTTTCTTAAAGTAACTCTTTGGCATGAATATTACTGCAGGTTTTTGATGAATATAATGAATGTATGGAATTCAACTGAATTTGCATGGTCTTAAGAATTTTTTCTGTGTGTATAAATTTAGCTGCTATTAACAGAAGAGAGAGCTTTCTGTGAGTAGCCATGTGCGTTGATCAAATACAATTTTTCTGAGATCTTCAATTAATCTCACTTTAAAATGACCAAAACATGTCTTTCTTGGATATCTTTGAATAAAAGTTTGTATATTATTTGTTTCATATTGTCCTTGATTTGTATCTATTTAGTTTCATACTGAGAAAGTTGCCCACTTCGTTTTTCTGTTCTTTTTTAAAGTTTGCATTTTCTCTAACTTCACAAATCAGTATTTTTAAGTTGATCCCAAGGTAACCTAAAAGGCATATCTGCTATCAGTAACTGAAGTCATTGAAAATTGTTATCCAAGAAAAAGTTAACCTCAACCATCAGGGAAAAGTCTCCCAAATATTGGTGAAATTTAAGGTTTTTATAGTCCTCTGTCCCCTATCTAATAAGCACAAGATAACAATAAAACAAAGAACAGTGGACCAAAAAGAAAAAATATCTGCTCTAAAGCAACCGAGAAATAAATTGTGATTTTGATACTAAATAAAAGGAATTGAGGGAATGGGGCGTTGGGGAGTGAGATGGACAGCGGAGGTTGTGGACCCCTGACTGGGTGCAGAGGGGAGGGAAGGGGGAGAAAGGGGAGAGGAGGAGGAGGAGGAGGAATGAGGAAGGGGATGGGAAGGAGAAACTGTGATGGCATTTGGTGGCTGTGCCTCAGAAGAGGAATTTAAAAGGTCAGCATGAACAGAAGCTTAGCCAGAACAATCGATAATCAAGAGGAAAGAATTATACCTATGATAAGATTTCCACTTAGTTTAATACAGAGTACTGGAATTTAAACAGAGAACCATATTTAATACTTATTTGAACTTCCAATTATAAATGGAAATATAAAGAACCTAATCAGAAAAAGAAAAAAACTTCTGTTTACCTTATGAAAAAGTCAATGTCTGCATTAGCGTGGCTCCAAGCACATTTCATTGTCAACCAACATGTTGAGGATCTAGTGAACGTAGACCACTATTAGCTGATTGTGACAGTGGCATCAAGGAAAATGTGGGACATTATCTTTCCTGAACACTTCTAAACACTAATGTCCTATGAAGCTCTCTGAATTATCAGTTAAAGACTTACTAAAAACTAAATGTTTAAGCTTTTCTTAAAATGTAATCTGTTAAGGTAATGGAGACATAAATACTTAGCATGTCAAACACCACTTTGTCTTTACTTCCTTTGAAGCATTAATAGCTATACTATAAAGCAGTTTTGTTAAGTTTTGTCAGTAGGTGGATTCATAACTGTTTTCAGAGGCTTTGGACATACCTGTTCCCCCATACTTCTCTGTTTCTCTGTGTTTTTTTGGAACACCCCCCTCTTTTTAAAAAGGCACATAAGAGCATTTCCGGTATGTTCTATTATTGTACAAAAAAGATCAGAATTTAAGACAGGCATATTAGAAATCCTGCTAAGGAAACAGCACCAAGTTTGAGCAGAGTTCAAGACTAGATTTGAGTATCTGCACTGGGAAACAAACTCTGCTGGCCTGTTTGTTTTCATCTCTGCCTTCTTGGCCAAATCCACTGGGGCTGAGGGTACAGGTGGGCGGTGTGCATACTGCTAGGAGACTCTGACTTCCCTTCCTGTTCCTATGGACTCTGGCATATGATTCCTCGCTTTTATTATCATCTCTTAGAGCATGAGGGCCTGGGTATTCATAATCCTAGTTGTTGATGAGCTATAAGACTTTTTAAGCTTATTTATTTTGAGAGAGAGACAGAGAAGGGGAAGGAGAGAGTGAGAATTCCAAGCAGGCTCCCATCCCACGAACCATGAGTTCATGACCTGAGCTGAAACCAGGAGCCAAATGCTCAACCGCCTGAGCTGCCCAGGCCAGCTGCCCTGAGTCATGAGACTTCTTATTTTATTAGATGCAGGGGTAGCATAATATACAGCGATGTGCTAAGCTTGACTTTGTTTCAGCCTGATCTTGAGCAAATTACTTCCTACTGACTTTTGTGGCTGCCAGTGCCTCATTTGAAGAGGCGATTACATGGGAGAGTGGAATCACACTTTGAATCAAGACTGGGGTTCCAACCCTGGCTTCATGACTCTAAGGAAGAAAAAAAGTGTGTATTGGAAGACGCATGGGCGTAAGAATCAGAAGACTCTAAATTTATATCCGTCTTCAACAGCTGCTTGCTGTGACTTTAAACACATTACTTAACCTCTGACTCTTATTTAGTCTTCTCTAAAATGGCAACAATAGTGTCTGTGTCACAAGGTTACTGTGGGACTTGAAAGAAATGATGTATGTTAACATGCTTGAAATGCAGAGGACCATCGATAGATTACTGCTTTCGTTGCTCTTCTCGGATCGTCCCATTTCTTCATCGTAGGGAAATAAGTGAGTTGGGCTGCCATATCTGTATTTCCTTTCAGCTCTAAGATTTAAAAGAATAATTTGACCTCTTCGATACATACATCTGCTCTGATTTAGAAAATCTATCTACTGTGGTAGATATGATCAGAAATGATCACTAAGCACTTTACTGAGCACTTCCTGTACTCCAGATACTGTGCAAATGAGATGTAGGTATTATTAGAATACCCATTTTACAGAGGTACTAGACAGAACTTTGAGAAGTTACCCAAAAGTACCCTGCTAATTGAGCAAGCCTAGTAAGTCACAGCCACAACCTCAGCCCAAGAGAGGACGAGCTCTGGAGCTGGGCTGCTGGCCCAGCAAAGTAGTCCTAAATTAGGGTGCGTGGATGGGCTTTGGTAGTGCAGCATCACCCAGTCACTGGACTCAAGTTGCCCCCTGGAAAGGGGGTGTGCCAGTGGGTAGAGGTGGCTCTCTTTGCCAACACTCCGAAGCTAAATGCCTGCTTCAGGCCTGAAGAGGGGGACTCGGGTGGTACACCACAGCATCCATTCCAGGGCACCATTCACCTGCCTGCCTGCACAGGCGTCCTACAGGTTTCCAAACACCAAAAGTGCAGATTCAATTTCTTTTCATTTGATTTGAGCTCACTGTCCTGATACTTCAGAAAATGTGGTTGGTTGAGGAGAGCCACTGAACCTGTTGAGAGACATCCACCAGGAGGGGCTTCCTCACTGGCAGACAGTACCCTTACTCTGGGAAAGGGAAGAGACTCTGGCTGAGTACTGCAGGTAGAAGAAACAGTTTGAGCATAGCCCTGAGAGAAACAACAGCGCCCTTTTACCAGAAACTGCTGAATAGCAAGTGCCTTCACCTAGCCCATATGGTGCCTTTGTGCGAATTTTTAGAAGGCCCTGTCCAGTTTAAATTCGTATGTTATTACACCATCTGTACACACTACTCTTATTGCCTCGTACGCAAGTATTTTAGTGTTGAGACATGGCGGAGATGAGGTTAGGGCTCCCGACAAGTTGCAAGTGTATCAAACCCTCTGCCCCCGTCTGTCGCACACCTGGATTACACCTTGTATATCGAGTGGGCATTCTCTCAGGCCACCCCCCCCCCCCCCCCCCCCCCCCCCCCCCACTGGCTAGGTTGACGCCTTAACACACGGGGGCAGCGGCCGTCTGCCAAATCAAACCATTTGCTAAACTTTTCTGAGCTTCGTGTTTTCTCATCTGCAAAATGGGGATAATCATAACTAACTCTCCTGGTGATCACAGGAGATCTGTTGCGCTTGAAATTCTCCATCTTCCGTATATAGGGGATTATTAAAGGGCACCGGGGAAACAAGGAAGAAGAACGGTCTAAATCCAAGGTAGATCAGAGGAAGGCAAGGCCCTCTCTAAACACAAAACAGTCAAAACATACCTTAAAACCCATTTATACTATTTCTTCGCAGGTTTTTCTGCAAAGCGACTGCTACACAAGTCCCATCTTTAAGTTTCGCGGAGGGCAGCCTGGTACCCTCTTCCCCGCACTACGCGGGCGCGGGCAGCAACTCCCCCAAGAACCTTGGTTGCCACGGCAACTCCGTGCGGCGGCTCTCGCGTAGTGGTAGTGTCCGCCCCCTCACGCCGTCACGCGTCCTCGCGCTTCCCCGCCTCCAGGCGCGCTGCGACGCTGGCTACTGGCTAGACGCCTCGGTCTCACTATCCTCACTCCATTCGCGGAGCCAATGGCTGGGACCGCCAAGGATTTGTTCACGCGAGTCACACGATTCCGGTTACCTCGAGGACCAATCACAGCGCTGGGAAGGCGGGGTGGGAGACCTCGCAAGCCAATAACGGCAAAAGAAGCCGCCTCGCGCTCTTAGCTCCACCCTCTAGCCGGCAAGGCAGGGTCCGAAGCTGCTGCCCCGGGTGGAGTCTGGGTGACGGTGGCCCGCAGTTCCCGCGCCGTCGTCCAGGTGAGGGGGCTGACAGAAAGGCTGGTGGGCCAGGAAGGGGGCGCGGGCGGGCTCCGGCCAGCCGCTCCGAGGTATTGAGGGGAACGGGGTCGGCCATGGATGCGCGCTCGCGGGGCGCCAGTGTCCGCTGTGAGGACGGAAGGCATGGGGAACAGGTGAAAACTGTGTGAAATCTCAAATGCTGAAATTAGGCTGGGGCGTGTTTCTTGCCCTTTAAGACTTTACAGCCCTCCGAAGACAGGATATGTTGGGAGATAGTTCACAGGGTGAGGGAGGGATGAAGGTTTGACGAAAGCAGACGCACTGCTGGGGAGATAAGATCTGTTGCGTCTGTGCGGTGGAGGTAGTGGGGTTGGGAAGGGCGTCTGAGAGGAGGTCACCGAAGAATGAATGAGAGTTGGATGGGGGACGTTACCGACGAGGGAGTGCTGTGCCCCTTACACGCGAAGTGTGAGAATACAGCGGGAAGGTGGGAGATGAGAGGCGAAGAGTGAAGGCCTGGCAGGGCCTGTTAAGCTTCGCTCAGGGCCTTGGTTTTTTATCTTTCAGGGATGCAGTCCCTTGACATTTTCTTAAAGAAGGGGGTTGACTCCGCTGTGTAGGTCGATCCTGCCATTGTTACCTTAAAGGCAGTGTGGAAGGAGGGCAAACTTAGAGATTGGGCAACTCCAGCCAATGAGGGAACTGCTTGCTGCAGTCCGGGCTCAGCTGAGGTGTATGGGCCCAACGACAGACACAGGCCCGCGGTGCTCAGCCAGACTGCAGAGTTTCTCAGAGAATCCACAATAACGATTTTTTTTTTTCTTTTTCCCTGAGGACGAAGCAGGCTTCCGGTCAATCAGGTTGTCTAAGGATAAGAAAAGGAAAAGAAAACTCACTGTTTCCCCTCCCCTCTCCTCTTTAATTCTTGCGTTGTTTGGTTTTGTTCATTTGGCGAAGATGTATGTATCCACTCTCCTTTCTTGTGTTGGGAGAGTAAACCCCTGAATGTTAATTACGCCAGGTCTCTTTAAATTGGGTGCCAGTTTTGAAGGCTTGACCTAGGCAGCAGAGGAGAGACCGGGAACATTCTTTCAGAGATGACCAAGTAGATGATGGTACAATTCACCAAATGAGTGGTTAAAGAAGACAGAATATTTGGGCAGGGTTACAGAGAGCAGTTGGCCGATTTGGGGCATGTTGAGTTTGATGGCCCCCTGAACTGTGTAATTGAAGATGGTCAGTAGTTTTAGATAATCAGAACTTGGAGTTTAAGAGAAAGGGCTAGGGATGGAAACACTATAGATATCAGCGTATTTAAGAAGAAAATTTTTAAAAAATATTTATTTTTGAGAGAGAGCGCGAGCAGGGGACGGGCAGAGAGAGACGGAGACACAGAATCCCAAGCAGGCTCCAGGCTCTGAGCTGTCAGCACAGAGCCGGATGCAGGGCCTGAACCCACGAACTGTGAGATCATGACCTGAGCTGAAGTCGGACGCTTAACCCACCCAGCCACCCAGGCACCCTGGTGATCAGTGTCTTGTTTAAATAGTTTAGGTCACCCCAGATACTCTGGAATAGTTAGAAAGTAGTAAGGAAAGCATTACTGAGAAACTAGCCTCAATTCTCAAGTCTTCCTTTCTCCAAAGCTGTGGCATAGATATTCTAAATCAGAAAGTGCTGTATTCTTTCTCGTCTCCTGGTTGAGTCTTTGGAGCTGATGTGCCCTCTACTCAAAACATCACCAGTTCTTCCCACCCACCCACTTTATTCTTTTTTAATCTGGTTCCCTCCCTCTTGTGCTCTGGGTCTCAATTTAGGTGGCATCTTTAAGAACTCTTTCCTGGTCCTCTGTTCTAACACTATTTCCACCCCATTTATTGTTCTTATCACATAATTTTATGATAGTCTCACTGCTTCTTTCTATTCCTCATTAGATTTTACACGTGGAAGTCAAGGGTGAGGGCAGCAGCCAGCACAGTGGCCGCACATAGTAGCACAAATAAAATCTGAGCGAATACATGTGAATCCCAATGTCTTTTAAGGACAGACATATCAGCTCTTCCAGATTGGTCAGCTAAGACACACTGTAAAGAATGTTTCTTGGATCTGGCAGCTAGGAGGTCCTCAGTGATGGTGTTGGTAAGGGTAAATGCAGCACGGTGATGACAATAGAAAGCAGATTGTAATCACTAGAGAAGAATAAATGGGACATGTGAAAACAAAGACAGCCTCTACAGAATAGTCTGTAAGGAGACCTGGGGAAACTATGGGAATTAGTTCGTTCTTACTATAATTTTATCGTGTGCTTTATTATTGATAGTTACAGTGGAGCATAGTGGATGAGTGCATAGTCTCCCCCAGTTAGTATGTTTGTAACTAGGGTTAAGAAAGTTGCTTACTCTTTCTAAACCTCAGTTTTTCATTTATAAAATGGAGATAATAAAATTACCTGCTCTGTGAAGGACCAAAGTCTTTAATATAGAGACAGCATGGAACACTCTTAGAACACAGTTCCTGGCATATAGGAAGTGCCCAATTATTGTTAGCTTCTTAAAGCTACTGTGTGTCAGGCCCTAAGTTAAGTACTTCATATGCCGTATGTCTTGGACTCATTAAAACTATTGCTTTTTCTTTTTTCAGCTTTAAAGTGTACATTGTGCGGTATCTATATACGTATGTATATATGATATATATATATATATATATATATATATATAGGATGTACACATATATACACACACACATACATTGTGAAAAGATCCCCACCGTCTAGTTACTATTCTGTACATTTTGCAGATGATAAAACTGAGGTTCAGAGAAGTTATATAATTTGCTCGTGAAAAATGAGGATTGGAATGACTTTTATCTTGTGAGTTAGGAGACTGTGAGTGGAGCTAGATTGCAAGTGGTTGAGTGAGTGGTGTGGGTGAGAACAAAGCAGGGAAAGGCTTTTTGTTAATTTCTCCCTAGAGGAAAAAGAGGTTGGTTCAGAGAAGAAGGGAAGTGGGACACTGGCTTGGAGAAGGCAGAGATACAGGTTAGGAGACTTCTTGTGAAAGTACAAGTATGAAAACGTAGGAGTATGTTTTCTAAACTTGAGGGAATGGCCTCAGTGAAGAGGGAAAGATGAAAGATCAGAAAGGATAAGTGACAGACAAGTTCTTAAGGTAAGATAAGAACATAACACGAGTCACTCTCAGGGTGAGTGAGAAAAGAGAAATGTTGAGGTTGGACTGGCTGGGATGTAACTGTAGTCCCATAGTATAAGCCATTTGAGAACGAGTATCACGAGAGAACTAAGGATACAGAGTGAATTAAGAGACCTGAGGAAGTTGGTTGAACTTCCCAGTACCCTCTGTGAGGAAAGGTGAGAGGTCAGCATTGGAAGTGGGGCATTTTAAGCACTATTAAGAGTGCTTCTAGGGCGCCTGGGTGGCTCAGTCGGTTAAGCATCTGACCTCGGCTCTGGTCATGATCTCACTCATGGGTTTGAGCTCCCGCATCGGGCTCTGTGCTGACAGCTCAGAGCCTGGAGCCTGCTTGGGATTCTGTGTCTCCCTCTCTGTCTGCCCCTCCTCTGCTCATACTCTGTCTCTCTCTAAAAAATAAATATTAAAAAAAAAAGTGCTTCTAGAGGCTTAAAATAATTTGTTTTTTAAGTTATCCATCATAATTTGCAAGTTAGAAACAACAGTGAACGTTTTTAGGAAAGTGACATTCTTTATAGGTTTTTCTTTTTTGATTTGGTGACCCATTATGCTTATTTATTATATAGGTAAAGTAGACTCATGAGAAAATTATAATTGTAAGAAGGTATAAAATGGAAAGTAGAATTTTTCTCCTCTCCTCCCTCACCGCCCCCCCCCCCCACCTATGTGTGCACGTGGACAAGACTGTACATCTCTTACCTCTCAATCTCTTCCCCTAAGGGTCACCACTCTAAGTCGTTCCCTGGATACCCTTCCATACATTCTGTGTGTGAGTGCGCACAGATAAATGCATAACCTTTTCACAGAAACACAAAGGGGGGTGCCTCTTGTTTTGGGTATTACTCTACAACTTGCTGTTTCCTTCAGCACTGTACCTTAGACATCTTTCTGTGTAGAACATACACATGTTCCCTGTTCTTTTAAGTGGCTGTATAATTGCCTGTGAAAGGACTTAGGATTTATTTAACTCCTTTCTTGTTGATGGACTTATTTATGTTATTTTTCTTTTTTCTTCGGTTTTGCTGCTATTAAGCAAAGCTTCCTTCGGTCTTTGTGTGAGTGTCACTGTATACCTGAGTGAGAAAATTGCTGGGTCAAAGGGTATATTTGAGTTGTGACAGTATTGTTAATTTTTCTTCAAAGACATACTAATCTTTCCATCAGCAATGTATAATGATACCTGTTTCCCCAAAGTGTTAACGTTACTAATATTTTGTCCTGAGCACATTGGAACTTTTGAAGGTTTTTTGGTTTAGGGTGTAGTTCTTTAAGTAGAACCGAGCTGCATATTTATTTAGTGAACATTTGTATTCTATTTATTTTTCCATGACCCCCTTGGGAATGGCCTTTGTCATCTTTCTATTGTGTTTTTAGCCTTTTTCTAAAGCACACTTGGTAGCCTTTTGTCATGAGTATTGGAAATATTCTTTTCCAGTTTGTCATTTGATCTTTGGCTTTACTTATAATTATTTATCCCCCAGTCAGAAGTATTTAATTTTTATGTGGTCTTATTTGGCAGATGTTTTCTTTATAGGGTTTTCTTGCTTTTAAGTGACACTCAAAACTCCGTTATTACGCATTGAAATTACAAGATTTTCCAAGGAGACCACACTGCAAAGTCTCTATAAAGATACTTTGAAACTCTTTGTCCACTGGTATTTTTGATCCTGCTCTTGAAAATTAACATGCGGCTTTTAAATCAGTGTCTACAAATGGACATGGTGATCCAGTAGCTGACTTTTTAACCCCATGTTTAGGATCTAAGGAATGGTACTTCTTTAACATTTGTTGTTTTTAAAATTATCAGAAGATGAATCTTAAAAGGCTTATTTTGCTGGAGTTTCACTGTTTGGTTTCTTTCTTTTCTTTTCTTTTTTTTAATATTTTTATTTATTTCTAGGAGTGTGAGAGAGAGCGAGACACGTGAGCAGGGGAGGGTCAGAGAGAGAGGGAGACACAGACTCTGAAATAGGCTCCAGGCTCTGAGCCGGCAGTCAGCACAGAGCCCGACGCGGGGCTCGAACCCACAAACTGCGAGATCATGACCTAAGCGAAAGTCGGACGCTTAACCGACTAAGCCACCCAGGCGTCCCACTGTTTGGTTTATTTCTTAATTTATGTATTTATTTTTACAGACTTCTTTCTGCAGAGATTTGAAAAATGGCAACCAATGAAAGTGTCAGCATCTTCAATTCCGCGTTCTTGACCGTGGAGTACGTAGATTCACTTTTACCTGAGAACCCTCTACAGGAACCATTTAAAAATGCTTGGAACTATATGTTGAATAATTATACAAAGTTCCAGATTGCAACATGGGGATCCTTGATAGTTCATGAGGCCCTTTATTTCTTGTTCTGTTTGCCTGGATTTTTGTTTCAATTTATACCTTATATGAAAAAGTACAAAATTCAGAAGGTGAGTGTGATGGACTTGCAGTGGAATGTTATCATTTATGTTGAATATTTTAAAAGTAAACCTCACTTTGTTTTGAGAGACTCTAGGTCAGGGCTGCCCAATGGAAATTCAGTGAAGGAACATACATAATTTTATATTTTCTGATAAAATACATAAAAAGGTATAAAGAAATAAGGAAATTAACTTTAGTATTGTACTTCCTTTAACACAATAAATCTAAACTATTATCATTTTAACAAGTAATTAGAAAATAAAAGTAGTTAATGAGATAGTTTATGTTCTTATTCTCACAGTAAGACTGAAATCGGCTGTGTATTTTTATATTAATTTTAGCCCATCTCAGCTTAGACTAACCGTATTTAAAATGTTCAATAGCCTCACGTTTCTAGTTCTACCACATTGGATAGTACAGACCTAGATCATTATTGCTACTGTTTCAAGAATAACTTGTTAAAGTGTGCTTCCGTTAGGTGTGACATTTGTCTAATTTGGGCTTAGAAATTTTAGTCTTTAAACTAGCCGGAAAGGAAGGTTATGGGAATTTGTAGATAATTTGCAATTCACTCCTACCCCTGATGTCTCAGCTGCTAAGTGTATGTTAATGTTCTATGATCTTGATCGGGGTTATTAAAAGTTTTGTTTTTTCCTTAAATAATACGGTGGTGGTTGGACGGCATTCATGTCATCCCAAATGAGGAAGTCCTGAGGCTCCTAGTCTCTAGGTATTTGTTTCAGCGCACTAAACTTCTTGCGACCCCACCGTGCACGACAGAGTGTTGAGATACACAGGGTGCCTCTTCTCAGTTTTAATCGCAGGGAAAATGGTGAGCTCTGCCAGTGTGTCACCTAGAGTGCGGCAGGGGTCCCAGCAAAGAATCTGGACCAGCTTATTAGAGATGTTTAGTCAGCACTTGACAAACCCGTGATGGTTTCTAATGCTTGCTGTGTACTTTTCTAAAAAGTCACGCCAAACTCAGACTCACGGACACGTGGTCTTGGTGGAACCTCGGAGAGTGCTCCTCTGTGGAGACTAATTGGCGCTCACCAAGGCCCTGTCAGGTGGCAGGCAGGGGGCACGTTCTCTCCCATCGGGCTGTTAGCCCTGGTGCCTCTCCCGGTGAGTTTCGCTTTCAGTGCTCAGGCCACTAGACTCCAAGCCAAAGGAGGGAAGAACCCAGAGAAGAGAGAGAAAGTAAAAAGGGGCGTGCCCAAAGGGGAATATCCTCTTACCCGAAATTAAGGACGCACGTTCCAAAATGCTTTTTATAACAGGGCCCGCTTTGAAAGGCAGAGTTCAGTTTGGATGTGTTGAGTCCTCATTCATGTTTGGGGTGATTCTGACCAAAGTGTGTCACCCCTTGATGTGTTTAGAGGGCTGATTCGTGGTATGTCTGGCCAGGCCAAAGTGTCCCTGTCCTTCTTCTGCCCTCCACAGTTGAGTCACTGGTCAGAGGTGGTCACTCTTGGAGAGAGAGGAAGACCTTTTTCAGTCATTGTTTTATGAATGACGTTAAAATATAAGGTGGCAAAAGACAGTACCAGGAATTGTCTAGCTGGTTACAGGTGGACTTACAAACAAAGGGAAAGGCCGGGTGCTATGGCCTCACGCTGTCTTGTCTTCCTTTGAGTTTCACAACCATTAAAATCCCTGCTTTGAGCCTGTTTGATACTAACAATGACCTGTGATGGTAAATCAGTGCAAGTTTGCACAAAATAAGAGGGTTTAAAACCAAGCAACAGAATCAGTGCAGTTAATTACAGGTTTATGCGTTGTGAAGGCAGAGGCCCTGAAACACTGGAGGGCACCGAGAGAAGCTGCCAGCAGTGAGGAGAGCAGCTTTCAAACAGCACAGACCATGGGACGGTCAGTGTGCGTGCTCGCCAGTGCGAGGGGGATTTACAGAAAGCCCCACAGCTTCTTAGTTCTCTAGCCATTTTCCTCAGGGATGTATATACTAAAAACATTCAATTGTCCTACTAATGGCATTCCTTCATATTATGATACAGTTAGATAGAAACTGTAAGATGGTAAACTCTGATGTGTTCCACTAGGTGGGAGTTTCGATTGTTCACTATCCTTTTTTTTTTTTAAATATTTATTTATTTATTTTGAGAGCGAGCGAGTAAGGGGAAGGCCAGAAAGAGGAGAGAGAGAACTCTAAGCAGGCTACCCCTTGAACTACCCAGGTGCCCCATTCATTGTTCATTATCTTTTGAACTAATTTAGGTACACTTGAACCAAGTGATTTTATAGTTGACTGATTTGTGTGTTAATTTCTGCAGTTAAATTACGGCATCAGATTCAAGCTAGGATATTTAAAGTCTGTTAAGCAGAATTTTTATAGGGAAAATTTGCCCCAGCCAAGCTCTTTAATTTATTTTATCCCCAGTCACAGACTGGAGGTTTGGAGTAGTGAGGTCAGATAATCTCAGAGTAGAGTTAGCCAATTAATAATGATCTTGTCTAATCCCTTCATTTTATTGTTGAGGAAATGGAGTTGTGAGCATCTCAGACTTAGTTAGCTAGTAAAGGTGGCCCTGAGATTGGAGGCTGACTCTAGATTGGTTATCAGTTGAATGCTTTTTCTTTTTTGTTAGGGAAGACAAAGAATTTTAAGAACAACAAAAAAGAACTTTAAGACCAGAACTGGAGACCTAGATTTTAGGAAGTCCTGGTTCGTGTCACTGCCCATGTGATCCCGGGCGAAGGAGCTGACCTCTTTGGGCTTCTGTTGCTGACCAGTAGTTTCCATACATGGGGTATTATGGTTTAGTTAACGTTGGGCTGGCAGTTGTCTGGATTTTTCAGTAAGGATATTCAAAACAAAGCAAAACCTAATATATATTATCACCATCTTTTTTGTGAAACCAGAAGCACCTTTTCTTATCTAACTGCAGCCCTTTAAATCAATAAATTTAGATTTTTAAAAAATATATCTTGCTAAGCAAGTCGATATCCCGATGAGGTTTTTTTGAACATTGTTACTACATCGATCTCACTTTTCTCGTTTTGGTTTCATCTCTGAATGTCATCATCTGTGGGCAGTAGCTCTCCATTCTTTGGGAACCACTGGACTCATTTCTGAAGTGTTTCCAGCTCAGAGAGTTACAAATCTGTCATTGGATATGACAAAAATCCATGTATTTCTGGGAATACACTTATTTCTGAGTCCCGCTGAATGACTGGAGGTATCACTTCACCTCTGTCGTCCGGACTTCCAGTGCGGTCTTTACAGCAGCTGGGGAGGACCTGCCTGTAATGTCAGCATAACACATTCCTTCTCTGAAATTCCTGCTGACAGAAGTGAGGGCTTGCGGGGCAGCAGAGACCGAGGAGTGCAAACAACACGCTGTGGGGTTTTTTTCAGTTTGTTTGTGACCTTTATGCCTGGGTTTGCCTGGGAACAGTTTCTTCACCTATTTAAACCCGTGATGGTAGTTATCAAGAATTCAGAGGGGAGGGTGCTGTGATTCCTGGCCCTTGCTTATTATAACATAGTCACTGTAATATAATAAGATTAATTAAATAACGTAGAATTACGGTCACATAGAAACATTACAGAAATAATTAGAATTCACTCTGATTTTCAGGTCAAGTTACTGATCCACAATACTAAATACTGTGATTTTTCTCCCTAGGATAAACCAGAAACATGGGAAAACCAGTGGAAATGTTTTAAAGTACTTCTCTTTAATCACTTTTGTATCCAGCTTCCTTTGATTTGTGGGACTTACTATTTTACAGAGTATTTTAATATTCCTTATGACTGGGAAAGAATGCCGAGATGGTATGTAGATAAAGATTTGATTTTGATACTCAAGTCATGGTTTATTATCTAGTTACAATATCCTCAGTATTGACCTTTTTCTTTCATTTGGTTAATGTTGGTTCTAAACTGTAGGAGTAAGTGTAGAAAAATAAACCATTAGTAGAAACTTCAAGTGTTCCCATTTTTTTGTCTTTCTTTATATGATTGTATACAGATCCATATGCTTCAGCCAAGAAAAACTATTACATTTTAAGTCTAAAATGAATAAAAAGAAAAGAGTAATTGTGAGAGTTATAAAAGTTGTGTCCATATAGACCCATGTATATAATCTGAGCATAAGTATTTGTGGTCAAATAACATTTGTGTTCAAATGTTTGTTCCTGATGTACTCAAATACAGATATACCAGTATATAGGTGTACCCTTTTTCTTTGTAATGTATGTTTAACATATAAAAGAGTTGTTGTTTGTGTGTTCATTTGTATATAAGTTTTTTTTTGCCCATTGCACTTCTGTCCCTCTCTTTGGTGGAAAATGATGATTTTAACTATTAATAATCTCAGTTCAAGCCCTTCATCAGCATTACTCCTTTCCTAGAAGTTTTGGATTTTGTTTAACTCTGATTTTATACATGTGAAATTTATCTCAGTGTTTTTATTTATTTATTTTTTTTTTAAGTAGCCTCCACGCTCAGTGTGAGGCTCAGACTCAAAACCCTGAGATCAAGAGTCACATATTCTACCTGCTGAACCAGCCAGATGCCCCTATACATGTGCATTTTTAAAAAGTGAATTAGAATTGCTACAGTGGTCAATCTCTTTACCCCTTCTCAGATGGTATTATAGAGCCACGTTGTCATAGCAATTTGTTTATTGATCAGTGTGTCCGTAGGAAGGGAGGTAGTTAGTGGGTATTTGGTTTCATGTAATTCCTCAAGCAGTGATCTCACATAAAAGTAAGTTATTTTATACTCCTTGTTTAAGTAAATTATTTTATACTCATTACAGTATTTTCATCTTAAAGGTATACACTGTTGATAAAATGCTTAGGCTGTGCAGTGATTGAAGATACCTGGCACTATTTTATGCACAGGCTCTTACATCACAAAAGAATATACAAATATATTCATAAAATTCATCATGAGTTTCAGGTATGTTAGAATTATTTTTAATACTTTTGTTTTAAATCTTCTGAGCTTTTAAAAAATTGTCAGTGATGTTTTTATTTCTTTTTCTTTGGCATGAACATGTTAAGACCATAAAACATACACACTCACACATACACATACAACCAGTTCCATAACTTCAAGAAAAATGTTATATGAATAGTTCAGTCTCTCATCTTTGAGGCCAGAGCACTATCGTGTCACAGTTTGTACATGGCAAATTAATAAGAGGCCACAGTGATGTTAAGGTCATTTAAACTGGATCCCAAAACAATGAACCTGCCTCTTTAAACTTCTAAAACGATTACTGACTTATTTGATTAACACATTTCCACCTCATTCTGACCCCCACAAAAACTGATTTGATCAGAACTGCTTTCATGTACCTTTATCAGACTGGTTATGTCAGTGTGTTCCACCTCAGTCCTGATTCCATGGTATAATAAATCAAGTGTCCCTTTCTGGGCAGAACAAATTCAAATGCATAAACCATAGTTAGAGTTTAAGTTGTTTAATGTTTTTATCTAAAACTATTAAAGGCAGTTACTAAGATTTTATTAAGAATATCTTTAGACCTTTTGATGTTTGGAAGAAACAAAAAGATGTTTGCTTTATTTATTTTTGAGACAGAGAGAGAGAGAGTAAATGTGTGAGCACAATCAAGCAGGGGAGGGGCAGAGAGAACGGGAAAGAGAATCCCAAGCAGGCTACACACTGTCAGCACAGAGCCCAGTGCGTGACTCAAACTTACGAACTGTGAAATCATGACCTGAGCTGAAATCAAGAGTTGGACACTTAACCGACTGAGCCACCCAGGCGCCCCACAAAAAGATATTTTTGCTGAGAATGACTGTTATTGTTTATGTATCTTGGCTAGATTTATTGTCATTACATAAAGAAACAATATAATTTTATAAAGCTATATGTATAAATAAATTAGAGTATATGTATTAGTCATGGTTCTCCAGAGAAACCAAATCAGTAGGAGACACACACACACAGACTGATTTTAGGAAATTGGCTCATGTGACTGTGGGGCCTGGCAAGTCTGACGTTTGTAGGACAGACCACAGGCTGGAAATTTGAGCGGAGTTTCTCTATTTGAGTCTTGAGGATTCTTTCTTCTTTTGATGTTAGGCACATCAAAAAAGTACTTTCACAATCGTATCCAGACTGGTATTTGACCAATCAGACCGTTGCACACTGGCCTAGCTAAGCTGACACAGAAAATTAACAGTCACAACACACTGTCATTTTTATCTACTTATTTTAGGCTCCATTTGGAATGGAAGCTGAATATGCACATCCCTTGGAAACTCTGATTCTCGGAGCTGGATTTTTTATTGGAATCATGCTTTTATGTGATCATGTCTTTTTTCTTTGGGCATGGGTGACCTTCCGTTTGTTGGAAACTATTGATGTCCATAGGTAAGCTACGGTTTCTATTCAGATATAAGGTATCATAAAATATATCTTTGTTTTCATGGTCATGAGATTATCTCTCTAAGCAGACTAGTAGGACAAATTAGTTTTGTTATTTTTACTTAAAACAAGAGAACATAATCATCGGACAAACAGTATTCTGTATATCCCTGTCTCTGGCAGTTGTCATTTTTACAGGTGGAATACACTCATGTATTACTTGGTCAAGTGAAATAAGACTTTGATACTGCCAAACTGCCTTCCAGAAGGGCCCCTCTTACCTTCCCAGGAGAAGCATATAGGAGAATGCTTGCCCTCACACAGCACCACCAAGCTGAGTAGATGCAGTCTCTTTACTCTGTGTTCTTAAGAGAACAGGAGGGTTTTCAGTGTTGTGATCTGCATTTCTTCGGGGACTTGAGAGGCTGTGCATCTGGGTGTGCCCACTGACCAATGTGTTCTGTCGTCTTTGAGCAACCCTTTTATATCCATTTTTGTTAGGTTATATGTCTCATAACCTCTTGGGTCATGTTAGTCTTGTTTGTTACATATGTTTTGTCTTTTTAGAATATTTTGTTTAATTTTTTTATTTTGAGAGAGAGAATTCCAAGCAGGCTCCGTGCCATCAGCGCAGAGCCCAATGTGGGGCTCCATCTCATGAAGCATGAGATCATGACCTGAGCCGAAATCAAAAGTCAGACAGTTAACCAACTGAGCCACTCAGGAGTCCCCAATAACTCCTCTCCTTTAACTTTTCCTAAAGGACACATACTTTTATGGGCATTACAAATGGTGGTGAAAAAGCTCCTCTAAAATGAAAAGAAAACTAATTCTTAAAAGTCTGTGTCTAAAGATTCATTACTATAACCCCTCTCTTTGATCTCACGATACATGAAATTAAGTTACAAAGATCTATCAAGGTTTTTAATTTCTTAAAATAGTTTATAGAATATGTACCCTTTTTCTGTGAGTTTTTGTCTTTTGTAAACCTGTCAGAAAGAAAGTGACTTAGGTGACCTGGAATGTTACTTGAACCAGTTAACAGGCAGATGACTCAATGAAAATGTCCATTATTTGACGGGTATTTATTTCCTTCATAATCTTTACCATCTTTATTTCAGTGGTTATGACATTCCTCTCAACCCTTTACATCTCATCCCTTTCTATGCGGGCTCTCGGCACCACGATTTCCACCACATGAACTTCATCGGAAACTACGCTTCAACATTTACATGGTGGGATAGGATTTTTGGAACAGACTCTCAATTTATTGCCTACACTGAAAAGATGAAGAAGGCTCCGAAAAAGACTGAGTAAATAAATAGCTCATCTAAACCTTCCTGAAGATACACTTTCCCTAATTGAAGCGAGTAGCTAACATTGCTTCTGCGGAGCAGAAATAAACATGCGTCTTGGCTGCCAGGTGATACAAGGAACATTAATGACCTTTATCTTCCTACTGGGAACTTTTTCTACTCTACATAAAAGCTCTGTATGTGTGGAAATAAGTAAATAGGTACTGAAAGACAATTTTCATGAGGAAGTTTCAAAGGCCACGTTGCTAACCTTATGGAAAGGTTTGAAGTAATGGGAGAAGTATTAATAATCTATGTCTTTCCCCCAATAACACCTCATAGTCCTGAAGTGGAAATTGGTCTTTAAAATCTTTTAAATCTGTGGTGGCCATTTCGGAAACTCTTAGCAGGGTGTTGGCCTCATATTGAACTTCACACATTTTTTAGAATTTGCCTAAACATCAAAGTATCATGGGTTGGACCACATCAACTGACAGTGTGAGTGAGGCTGCCGAACGAACCAGGAAGGGCCCGCACTTCCACTGGCCTCGCCCTATGCTGACTGGCTTGGGGAGATTCTGTCTCTTTGAGAAGTCCTTTTGGATTGCAGAATACTACTGGTATCCATAAATGAAGGCATTTCTGAATTGTTGTAATTGGAATATTTTAGTCTAAAGGTTTTTGGGTCACTTGAATTTTTAAAACAATTGAGCTTTATTTCTCCTGTTCACCCTCTCGTTTTTGTAAATCAAGTAACTGTATCTTGAAACATTGTGGACTGACTTGCTGTATTTGCACTTTGAACTATTGAAATAAATGTGATTTTTTTTTGTCTGATTATCTGGTTTCCAATTTTAGGCATCAGCTGTCATTTTTTATTCTTATAAGGAAAAATACAGAAATCGTTAAGTTATTAAGTTTTGTAATAAAAGGAATAATTCTACTTTTTTAAGTGCTTCATTTGCTGAACTTTTTTGGCAGTTTCAACATGTATTTATAAGGCTATGGTTGTGGGCAATTCCATTGAGTTAATAAGGTGGAGGATATTGAGACAACTCTTTTCTCTGCTTTGAAGATGTATGTTTTCTGTGCAGGTGGAAGAATAGAGCTAATCTCTGATAGAGCTGATTTAATCTGATACCTAGATTCCAACTCAAAAAAGTTGATAAATCTACAAAATTGTAGTACCAAATTGTTATTCATAATATGGAGCCATTTTCTGGTTTCTTTTCCTTCTTTTGGAAACGTACAGTAAGGGGATTCAAACAAGGATTCAGAAAGTTGAACTGAGAATATTCTGCTAGACCATGTTTTCTCATTTGTACCTAGTCCATATGACCCTTTTCATTCTTTATATCCTTTCCCCTTCCTGTGCAGGTGTGGGTTTAAAATGTTAGCTCTTAATTCTCAAACAGCAATTTTGGGGCTGTATTTAAATATCATGTTGATTGGCTATCTGTAGGAATTTTTATTCCCTACCTTTTGTTCCCTAATATTCACGGAACACACAGACATCTGGATTAGTAAAGGGTGACTCAGTAGGTGGGGGGAGGGTGACATCTACTGTTGGAAATGGTGCTAAACAACTCAGTTCACCTCATTCATTCTAGTTAACTTTCTGAGCACTTACTGTATACCCTGACTTCTGCCATGAGCTTTTATTTATTTTTTTAAATTTTTAATAGTTTATTTATTTTTGAGACAGAAAGAGACAGGGCACGAGTGGAGGAGGGACAGAGAGAGAGGGAGACACAGAATCCGAAACAGGCTCCAGGCTCTGAGCTGTACAGAGCCTGTACAGAGCCCGACGCGAGGCTCAAACCCACGAACCATGAGATCATGATCTGAGCCGAAGTTGGATGCTCAACCGACTGACCCACCCAGGCGCCCCTGCCATGAGCTTTTAATGCATGATCTCATTTAAGTCTCTGAGGCAAATGCCATTCTCTCCATTTCTATATGAGGGCATTCATTGTCGGAGAGGTAAAGTGACTCAAGATCACAGGGCTAGCCTTTTGACTTCAGAAGCCGTGCTCGCGCCTAATACGTTCACTGCACTGGAGACTTGCATCTTCTGTAAAAATCTCAGGGGATGGGTCTCCAAAAATTTCCCTTGTCATTATGTACAGTCTTTTGAGAAGAAAGTTCTAAACCAGTAGCTTCCCAGAAAGCAAGGCTCACACACAACACTTTCATACAAATACATTTTAATGTGATTTACTGGCCAGACCTCTTAAAATTCCCTGGATCAAACGCTTCCCTGTTAGCATTTGACAGTGAGACAAAAATGAAACAAATATGAGGACTAGAGTACAAATACAATACATAGCTCTCCTACACTAGAAAATAGTAAAATCTGCTTCTTTGGTTATCTGTTTTGGATTTTATCAAAAGTAATGGTAGTGGTAATGAAGTGGTAATTTGAAAGCTTAAGGTTAATATCGAGCTAAAATGAACTAGTATTTTGCTCTTCTACATATTCTGGTGAAAGACATTCAGACCTTTAAAGAAGTCTGGGCTTGCAGTATGTCACGAGACTTCCCCTGTCCCGCATCTCCCAGTTCGTATGCTCTTACATCAAGCCTACGGTTGTTAAATCCATGTTCAAGTCCCATATCCCCCCAGCTGGAGAAAGACTAAACCATTCATGAGCAAGGGGTCAGAGGGTTGTATGTTCATCCCTGAGGATTTAGCTCCTAATCCACTCTTCCAATGATCCTCTCTGCCAATATTCGGAAGAGTGACACGCCATTGATCACGTGAATGGCAGGGGCCTGTCAAATGCTGACATTCTTCCATAAAATCACTGGACGACCATTTGAAATGTCTTTAGGGCACCACTGAAGTCCACATGACGAAAGGAAGGGGATGTGGGAGGCTAAGATGCAACAAATGAAATTACCTTAAACCTACTAGGAAAATAAGCAGAACTTGGGGCAGATGCATGTTCACTGTGTATGGGAAGGAAAGGGCTGCTGAGATAAGAGGAGCACAGGATAGTAAACAGGAGCTGCTCGCTCGTGGACTGAAAGCAGCACTGCAGGGGCAGTAACGGGAGAGGTGAAGCCACAGATGTCCTACCAGCAGGTCTCGCTCCTTTGCTTTTCCCCTCCTCTTCCTCTAAACCCATTTCCTCGTCTATGAAATGGGGATAATAGTAACTCATAGGAGTTTTGCGAGGATTAAGTAGGTTCCTGCATGTGAAGTATGTGCTGCTGTGTGCAATAAATCTTAGCTGTTCGTTCCGGACCCGGCTCAAGCCTCACCCCACCATCCCCACCTTCTTATTCCTATAAGGTCTTGTTCCCACTTCAGGTGACAGCAGTCTCCCCGCTCTTCCCACTGTGGGTTCTCTATCACTCCGTAGCACAGGCTACTGTGTGTTGCTACCTCATTTTAGCCAAAGTTACCTATTTTGCACTATGTACTTCTGTACCTTTGCTCATGCTAACCTCTCACCCTGAAACAGAGGCCCAGTGAGGGTTATCAATATGGTCAAAGGCACGCAGGTCATGAGCGGCTAAACTGCCTGTAGAGCTGGGATTTTCTTTCCTATTCTTGTATTTTTCCCTCATATCCTTTGTACATCTGATGTGATGATGCCTCCTATGTAACAGGAGTTCAAGAAATATCGATCAATTAAAAAAAGAGGAGAGCACATAACAGCATCTTAATGTAGGATTTGGCAATCGTGCTGCCATTTTAACGATCAGTTGAGAAAGTCTTAAGCAATAATGGCAAATGGTAGGGAGAGCAGAGGCCAACGGGGGACTCCCCTTGAAGCACATGCCAAAAGTGAACCTCTGCATCGGGGCTGCCTGGGTCAGTTGAAGTCTGGCTGCACTTTAATGCTTTGGCAGCTTAGAGTTTGACTTCGTTGCTGTAGATTCTTACGGAGTATGCAGCTTGATACGTTTAGAGGGCATGCATGTCTGTTGAGCTTGACAAAAGACTGTGTCCACCTTATAAAGAAAATTTTAAATTTTGTTTAACCTTTTGGGAGATCTGAATGAGCCTTCTTGTACACCATGAAGATTCAGTGAGCTTCTTTTGCTACGAAATAATTCATCTGCTAGTAATAGAAGAAGTAGAGAGTAAGAGGTAAGAACAGGACATTGGTTACTGCTCACCAGTAGATGATGCTCTGTTAGCATATAGAGTAGCAGTTGGAACTACTCAGCTCTCATACTTCCTTATCAAGGGAAAATGATCTGTGGTTGGAAAAAGGAGCAAGATTGCCCTGCTAAGATTGAGAACTGAACCCCAGGAGAGAGGAGGAGCTATTTAATCAAGTGCCTAATAGCTTTAAATGTACTTTGAAAGTTCCAAGTTCCTGAGGGAAACCATTTGCAAGTATGACTGTGAAACCATTTTAGATAATCAGGCAGCAAGTTAGTCTTTTCAGCCTTTGTCTTTTTTTTCTTTTTTTTCTTTTTTTTTGTAGGTTGGGTTCAGTTTCTCCAGAGAAGACTATTTCACTCTCTGTCTGGGGAAAAATACATCTTGATGCCCAGATTCATTCTGGGAATCAATTCTGGAAAGAGGCTTAGGATCCCTGGTTTGGTAGGTAACCTTTCACAGAATCCGTCTGTTCTCAGCCTCATGTCCACCTGATCCATGGCCTCCTCAGTATCTACAGATACCCTCACCTCTTCCGTTCAATTTCTACTCACTTCTGATGATCACTTTCTAACCTTTTCTCTTCTGGTCAGACATGGGTCCTTCTCTGAAGTACTTCCACAACACTGTTGACTGCTGACTTCTCCTATCACAGATCTCAGCACACTGGATGTGTGTTGTTCTGTGTCTCCAAGTAGACTCAGGGATTGTCATAGCGATGATCTTACCCATAGTAGCCATCCCAGTCCCTACACGGTGTCTGGGTATTCTAGGAATGCTAAATAAAATTAAATCACAACCATTTTGGACTGAAACCAGAATACACTGACAAACACTTCTAAAAAAAATGATTTCATTGTAAATATTTATTAAGTGGATAATGTTTAATCAATCATTGTTGACCCAAGTCAAAATACCTATAGTTATATAGACTTTTCAAGAAAGTGAAAACACTTGGCAGTGGTTTGATAAATAAACTGAGAGAGAGAGAGAGAGAGAGAACAGCAGTGTTTAAAACTCAGTTAACATGCATTCTGTTAGACCAGTACTATCTGGATTCCAAAACCAGACAATAACATAACAATAAAGAAAAGCTACAGATCAATACCCCTTATGAATATTTGCACAAATTCGTAAGAAAATACTAGCAAACCAAATCAATTATGATACAAAAAGGATTATACATTATCAGATGGGATTTATCTCAGAAATATAAAGTCCATTTTGTTGTTCCTGTTTTTAATATATAGGTTTCAAGTGTAGAGTTTTATGATTTGACATCTGTATCCACTACAAAGTGATCACCCCCACAAATCCCGTTACCATTCAGCACCATACAGTTGACCTCCTTCCCTTCTTGGTAACCACTAGTCTGTTCTTTGTATCTATAAATTTGCTTCCGGGCTCTGAATTCTGTTCCATTGATCTGTGTGTCTGATTTTACATCAATTACTAATGCTTGGCAGTATAGTTTGAAATCAGGAAGAGTGATGCCTTTAGCTTTCTTCTTCTTTCTCAAGATTGGTTTGACTACTCAGGATCTTTTGTAGTTCCATGAAAATTTTAGATTTGTTCTAGTTCTGTGAAGTATGCTATTGAAATTTTGATAGATATTACATGGCTTCGGTAATATGGACATTTTAACAATGTTAATTCTTCCAATCCATGAGCACAGAATATCTTTCCATTTATTTGTGTCTTTTTCAGTTTATTCATCAGTG